AAAACCAAACCAAAATAAAAACAATCCCCAACACAATCAAACAATTAGGGATATGGTGGGATGAAAGCAGAACCTTGTATAACCGAATACTGTGGTTTCAATATTTTGAAACGCATCAGAAAATTTTGGGGCTTGGTATTGCTGTTAACATTTTAACTAAAAATATTCAAAGTCATATCACCTTAAAGCTGCATTAGTTGAAAGCAGCTTGTTTAGATTTAATTACACCTAACCTTTCAGTAGTGCTACTACACCATTAAAGGATAAATATAACTTAAATTTAAACTTAAGTGTGTATTTAATTTTTAAACAACAAAATACTTGTAGGAATAACGTGGTAATGGCAACAGAGGAGTCTTACAGATTTCAAAGAATTCCCCCAAGACCACAAACTGTTACTTTTGTTATGACAAAAGCAGACTGATTAAAAAGGGGAAAGGATCCTCTTTTACACAGAGGTTCCTGTGTATGAAAATGTTTTAAAAATCACATATATGAACATGTTCTTGTATGAACCAGACTGGAATTAGCCGTTACTACTGATCAGTGAAGCAATTAGCAGCTCAGTTTGATGTAATGCATGAAAATATACACTTTCTACTTTTATTAATTCCTGTAGTATTTTATACATTAAACTAGAATTCTGCTATCTGACTAGACATCCTTCCCTTACCAAATCTGCACCAACAGCCTGAGAAGGAACTTTACTTTTAAGGAAAAATCCTGCAAACTCAAACATAAGTCACAGTATTTTAATCAGTCAACATAGTTCACAGAATCATTAGGTTTGGAAGGAACCCCTGGAGATCATCTGGTCCACCCTCCACACCAAGGCAGGGCCACCTACAGCAGGTTACACAGGAACGTGTCCAGGCGGATTTTGATTGTCTCCAGAGAGGGAGACTCCACAACCTCCCTGGGCACCCTGTTGCAGGGCTCTGTCACCCTCAACATAAAGAAGTTCTTCCCTATGTTGAGGTGAAAATTCTTGTGTTTTAGTTTATGACCATTGCTCATCCTGTTACTGTGCACCACTGAAAGGAGTCTGGCACCATCCTTCTGGCACTTGCCTTTGAGATATTTATATTCACTAGTGAGACTCTGCCTTGTACTGAGGAGTCCTGAAGCAGCCACTCCAGATGTGGCCTTACCAGGGTTGACTGGAGGGTGAGGATCACTTCAAGCAATTAAGAAATAAAATGGGATATACCTCTGCTTTTTACTTCTCTTTCTACCAACAGTAGTCCATTCTTAAAGCCAACTTCCCAAAAGAGCTAATGTAGACTGACTGCAGGAGAAAGCTTTAACATTTAAAAGCAATTTGCCTTCTAACAGGCTTCTTATTTCCCCATTACAGTCAACACCAACCAACATGCAGTTTCTGTAACCAAGGTAATGGTTTTATTTATCCTGTTTCCACCTGAATAGCTATAAAATGACTGATTCACTTACTAGACAATACCAGATCAATTAATTTTCATCTGGGCCACAGCACTGATCTTTTTAAGTCCAAATCCAAGAGATATAGTCACATAACAATACTTGCACAATACTATTAACTATAGTTATTAGTTACAAGTAATGGTACACCTCTACAAGTGTATCAAAACCAAACATGATGGAGGTAAGATACAATGGAAACAAAAGCCTGAGTACCACAAGACGAGGTTATATTAACTTTTAAAGCCTATAGACTTTGAAAAAATATAGCTGACTTGGGCAGCTCTAGCAAATAGTTATTATAAAAAGGCTAGAAAAGCTGTCAAAATAAGAAAATATCTACTTGTTTCAAAAGACATAGTATGAATAAACTGAGTTTGAAATATGCAGTAATAAAATACTTATTTTGCTGACAGCTTTTCTTAATGTGGAACCAAATGATCACACTGCAAGGCAAGTACATTACTGGTTCCTCTGGTTTCAAATGTTAGCATCACATTTGTATTTATACTGTTCTCTAAGTTCTGGTCTTCAGTCAAGCACCACTAAACATAATACAACTCCTTCTTATAAAACAATAGAACCCCCACTCTCATCCACTGTTAAAAAGGCAACTCCCATCCCTGGCCTGTGTAATCTGACTTGCTACTCTACATATGTACAGAGTAGGATGAGCTCGCACATCTTGGCACCATAAGAAATGTACAGTTTTTCTGTAGTGGGAAATTCAGACCAAAGGCTTGTTAAAATCTGACCAGTCACCAAACAATCAGTAAGATCATCAACTAGATCAAGAAGCTATTGTTCATCAACTACCATATGTAGAAAGAGGCTATTATTAGTAATAGCAGCTCAAAAGGATGCATGCAATTCTGGAAGCTTATATCCAGACTGATAGCTTCACCAGGAGAGATGATTATACTTATTCTAAGGCACCTATAAAATATAGCAAGATAGAGATGGAATGAAAGAAACCACTAGGGAAATAGAAAGCTAGAAAATAACAAGTGAGGACTGGAACAATAAATAAAAGGGTAAGAGTTGTTCTTGATTACAGTGTAAAAAGCAATAAACCACTGGCTAGCATTTCACTGATACTTTTCTAAAAAGCCATCAAGTCTTCCATGCATCATCACAATGCCTCTATGTCCTTACAGATCTTTAAACCTGAAAATTACTCATGTACCGCTCACATCCCCTTTCATCCCTATACCCTATTACTTTCATTCCACTGTGTATCTGAAATCATGTTGTAATAAATAATCCATAAGAAATCAACCCAGAGTGTATTTTTTTTTCTCTCCAGCTAGACACAGAGAATAGGACTATCTGTTGGGGCTCTCGTGCACTAAGAAATTATTTACGAACCAATGTTTCACTGACCCTACCTCATGTGTTACTAGAATGAAAATAATAGCATTCTAAACCTTTCTTTTTTTTTTTTTTTTTTTTTTGTGTACTAAATTGGAGAAACAATGCCACTGTGACTATCTGCCTGTATCTCTGGTTGGCCAGATTGCTGTCTACTGGCTCCTGCCTACATGGAGAGGTGAAACAATTAATTAAACAACAGGTTATATTTTGGTTATGTAATGAAGATTAATTCAAGGAACTTGCTCTGCAACTAGCATTTTTCCATCCACAAACAATAAATCAGAAGTTGACTGTGAATCACTTACAGAGGTAAGAGAGTAAAAAACCCCGACCCATTCATAAAAGTCAAGTAAAACCTAGATCAGCTATTAGTCACTTTTCTTTAAAGTCATTACTGCTTCTGCAAATATTAAAAGAAAGATAAAACACACCAAACTACTATTTTCTTAAATTATAAAAGTATTGTCTGTACATGAATCCACAGGCAAAGAAAAGGGGGTAGATTGCGAAAACTGAGAGGCTGCACACTGTACATTTTGTATACTTTGTAACATATTTTCATAAGCCAGTCTGGGCGCCAGTTGGCTTCTCTGTAAATGTAGTGTAAGAAATGCTTCAGTAATTCAGAAGAAAAAAGTGTCAGTAGACTAAGAGACTGAAAGAGGTCTTTTGCCTGCTGGGTTAAAAGAGCAAATACATTTAATTCATAGAACTGATTGCATGAAATGTAACATTGAAGTTACTTCTCATTTTCTAGCAACCTATTATCTAATAGAGATAACAGCCTGTTATCTAATAATGTACACAAATACACAGACTTTAAATAGTGGAATCAATTTGAATTTCACTATTTTGAGTGTTCCCTGGGTACATTCTTTATCTTTATATTCCTCTTGTACAACAACGACTAGGTAATATGACTGTGGCCCCCTTCTCCCACGCCTCAAGATAATGAAAAAGTCAAGAAAAAACTGTTGCTAGCTGTTTCTTCCTATATACACCATCTAGTTTCTAACACAGTACTGTAGAAAAATGTCTGCAAAAAGCAAACCTACAATCTAGTGTAATTATTTTAATGTAGAAATAGAATTTCAAATAAACTTTCATATTAGCAATATTTAACTGCTTGTGTAACATACTTTCAACCTGACTATATGTTTATTGTAAAAGCAGTCCATGTACAAAACAAATTTTATAGTAGATCAAGTTTTGGATGCTCATTATTACTAAACACAATCTTTGGCTAAAGGCACAATTTTTCATCCTTAAAATGAATGTATCAGGTGATTACTTTTTCAAGGCAGATAAAGAAAGCAAAGATTCAGTCAAGGTGACAATTACCACCTGGCTAGCTACAGTAATTACATGCTCCCAATTAAATGCACATACAGTATTATAGCATGAACACTGTAATTAGCAATATAGTGTACGTTAATATTGAAAGCCACCATATTTGTGTATTACTAGAGGTATTAAAAGTTATGTATATGACTGTCTGCTTTGAAGTCTGTTAACACAGAAGATAAATATAATGAATAAATCTGTGTCAACACCTGTGATTGAAGCTCTTTTCTACCACCTCTTCATACAGATACCACCATTTACACCTCTCTTTCCTCCACACCCTTCTCCCTTTTCTGGGGACTGACTACTTACTTGAGGGCTTACTGGGAATACAACTAATAACAGAATCAAAATCAGTCTAGACTTGCATTCTCACAAGTACATAACAAGTTATAGGTTACATACAGGATGCAGAACACTGTTCATCAGGATGAATATAGAACAAACCATGCCTTGAAAACTGTTAAAGAAAGCACTGTAATATCTGAACAGTCTGGATTACTCCTGTGAATACAATGATAAAACTTTAAGAAAAACAAGGACAGTGTACCGTTTAGTTCTTTTTGTAGGACAGAAATCTTATGAAATTTAATTTTCAAGATACTGAAATTCAAAGCAATACAATTGCTTACTAAACATGTTCAGAATATTCCTTCAAAACAAACTTGTAAAATTTTAGCCTCTTGACTTCCATGGGACTAGTTCACCCTATGAACAAAATGAAACATAAGCAGAATTTTTGTCACCAAATTCAATGAAAGCAGGATCAGGTACCATACAGAAATTAATGTCCAACTCTAGTAAGAACAATTACTTAAAAGACAATAACAAAACACTATTACCTCCAGCAAGGATCTTCTCTTCCAAATCACTCATTTGTTTCTTGTATGCTTTTAAAGCCGCTTCTTTAAATGATGGTCGTATTCTTTTTTTCTTTGGCATTTCAGTAACTATCTCTGGGACATTCTGATTTTCATCTTCCCGTACTTCTATGTCAGCAGCTATGTCACTTCTGACTTCCAACATCTCTTCACTGACCACACTGTCAAACTGTGTGTCATATTGCTCCCCTGGTAGTACTACATATGGAGTATCATACAAAGGCTGCTCTGGTTCGTATTCTTGGACCTGCTCACTAGTTTCACTACTGTTAGTTCTATTTTCTAATTTAGCAAGGACTTGTTCCATTACTTCTACATAGTCTGTTTCTTTCTCACCAGGTGGTTCAATTAAGTCTTCCTCATACTCTACTTTGTAGCAATAAGGCTCAGCATAAACATCAGAGTCAAGTGTTGTACTTGATTCATTTGCAGTCGACTGAGATAAAGTTCTAAACCTTCCCATGAAGGATGATCCACTGTCTTCATACCCACTTAAACTTTGTGTACTTTTATTCCAGACTACTTCTAAAGCTGACTTGGCTCGTTGAAGTGTAGATCCAAATTTAGGAAAGCTGAAAGTCTTATCAGAAAGATCTATGCTTAATCGGCTATGCCATGATTTAGGGGCTGTTTCTTCTGAGTCGTCACTTTGCAGTTCACTCTGACTTCGGTACATCATAGGCAATCTGTTTTGATTCTGATAAGAGGAGACAGAATTTGTTTCCTGATAATCATCATATTGAGCAGTCCACTGACTTTGTGATTCACTATCAAGGCCTGGACATGATGGAGAAGTACCATCAAGAGTAAAATCATAGCTTTCAGTATCATACTGGAGGTCAGAATTTTGGCACTTTCCAAAATCTGTCTGTTGATCTGAAGGGCTGCTCATATCATACACAAAAACTTCCTGTGTGGATGAGTCTAGGCCCAAATCTGCCCCTTGTTCCAGCTGATTCCAGTCTTTCCATGGGGAAAGATCATCATGTAAAGAAAGCTGAGAATCAGTATAGTGGCTTCTGTCTCCCGTTGCACATACTCCATTGCTTAGTCCACTGCCAACAGTTTCTACATTCTCCACATTATTTTGCTCTGGATACTGTTGCGTATCTTGGCCAAAAGTCTGTTCCTGAGAACTGCTATACCAGTTTGTAGAATCATCTTGCCTTCTCTGCCAAAGTTCTCGGTCAGAGGAAGACAACAATGAACTGCCATTTGTTCTGCTAAAATACTGATTTTCTGAAAAATCCTCAGAGTAAGATTGACACAATTTTGAGAAATCTGATTCCGAACGGCTAAGTTTTGGTGTCGCAAAATCATTCTGTAAATGCCATAGAGGAGTCACGTCTGTGTAATAGGTCTTTGATTCTTTTTCCATATTGTCAAATTCTGGTGACCGATTGTCATAATTTCTTCTGTTTGAAAAGGTGTTATTGTCAGCAGTTCTCTTAAGGTCTTTAGTATCTGGGGACTCAATACTCCCCTTTGTAGTGCTTGTTTTTATTTGAAATGCAGATTTGGATATCCTTGCATAACTGTTCTTATTTATATCTGATTCCAAGTCTTTATCACTGTCAGGAGACTCCCAGTCATGCATTTTAGTTTTTGTCTCCACAGTTAAAAGCTTCATATCCATACTCTCATATGTCTGAGAGGAAGGTAGTCCTCGTTCTCTTCTGTCTTTAATGTCATGGGAAAATATGTCTGTAGAAATTCCTATGCCAGTTCCCTTAAGTTTATATGACTTTTTTAAAATCAAATCTCTCTGTTGCGATGACTCAAAGTAAACAAGAATGGGTCTTGGCTTTGCATTTGGACAGTCTCTTTGTTGTCCCAGTCTTTGGGCAAACTCAATTTTAATAGTGCTTTGTGCCTCTGAGAACCCCATTTTACCTATTAATATTTTGTAAACTATGCTTTCAGTTTTTTCAAGCCTCTCTTCAGGCACATTTAGAAACCTAAGACTTGCTTTGTTTCCTGGATGGCCCACCTGCTTAATGTAGTCATGTATGTCCCGAGTTTCTCTTCTGGACTGTACAAATCCAGTTCGCAATTGTTCAATTTCATTTTGTACAACTTCTACACTACTCGAAATTTCATCAATTGATTGTTTCAGAGCATTAACATGCCCTCTTAATTCAGAGAGTTCTGTTTCAATTTGACTTATTCCCTGAAGCTCTTTAAAGATCATTTCCATAACATCATGGGTTTGGCTAATACAACCTGTTGAACTAAAGCCAGGTTCAAAAGTATTTGATTTCTGGTGACGGCCAGTTCTGTCTAGAGATTTACTTCTTAAGCCCCATGTTTTCTTCCACGTACTTAGTTCTGAGTCAGAAGAGACACATTCTTGGCTCTTCTTCCATTTCCTTAGTTTTCGTAAAGCTCCCAGCTTCAGTGTGTGTAAAGTGCGTTCTCCATCTGAACTTCCATCAGATGGTGCCAGGCTGCTTAAGCTTTTTCTGTTGCGTCTCACAGGCATTGTGTGTGATAAGTATTCGTTTTTCTTGCTGCTTTTTCCTTCACTTAGCGACTCAGAATATGAGCTATCATTTGAAGACAGATCTTGAACTATATCTTCATTATTACTGTTCCTTACAAAAATATGCTTTTGCAGCCCATTAGCAATAGCAACTCTGTAACTGAATGTTGGAGAAAGTGAAAATTCTCTATTACTTTCCTCTTCTTCAGTTGACAAGTTGCGAGCAGATGGACACTTGGCAATCTTTTTCACAGTGCTTTTAAAAGTATTTGAAAATTTTGGATTCTTTGTTTGTCCAACCTGAGTTAAGTCGTGTTCCTTTTTGCTCTGACAACTCTCTTTCCTTTTTGTACTGTTTCCCGATTTCTTTGTAAACATTCCTTTGCAAAGCTTATATATGTAAGAAGAGATCAGGCTTTTTAAGAGGGCAGAAACCATGGAGTGTAATTTATATTAAGTCGTTTCCATAAAACACAATTTTTGATCCAGACAAGTGTTTGTATCTCCAACAGGATCATCAGCAAATATTTCATCAACAGAGACTATAAAGTGCTCTGATGCTCTGGCATCATTTGACAGAGAAAAAAAAAATAATTAAAAATCTGCTTGTTTGAAACCAAATCCTGGAGGGGTTTTGTAGGTCTTGCAAAATCTCACTCTGTCGCACATGGCTTCTTGAAGTGTCTAAAAAGGAGGGAATGACATTACAATGGCTGCCAAGCAAACTTATAATTCAATAATACCAGTGTTGGTTTAACTGGGTTATAATTGAAACACAGGTGACTTAAGTATTTATTTATACTTTCCCCATAATTGTCTGAATAGAATTTTTCATAAAAAATTGAAGCCGAAAGCAGACCTAGGCAAATATTTTTAACATATATGAATAAGCTATGCATATTTACAGGTTTCTTTGTCCAATTCAATTCTCCAACTTTTAATTGAGATATTTGGTATTAATGCTGTCTGCTTTTTTTCAGAGTAATGACGTTTCAACTTAGATCCATATGATACACAGCAGTGGTCAGAAAAAAAAAAAAAATCAACAGGGGAATGAGTTGCTACAAGCTAGTAAAATAGAATTTTAGAAGTGTCTCTTGGTTCATCTTTTGGAGCAAGGTAGGATTCCGATATAAATCAGTATTGTATTCATGAAGTACTATTCTATCTTGAAATGGAATTATGCACACGACTATGGTTTGCAAAGTGAATGCTTTCTTTTTATAGGAGATTTTAATGCATGTGATGGTAAGCCAGGACTTAAAGTGGGCATACCTTCTTGGTTTCTCCTCTTTAAGAAATAACAAAATCATAATGACAACTGATGGAACATTCTCATCAAGCTTACTAAGTTTTATATTGTTATGGTCACAGAAAAAAACCAAAAGCAAACCACAAACCCACACAAAATGAGAGCAAGAGGGAGAACAAATATGATTTATGAGCCTCAGCAAAAAAACAGGTGGCATTACAACAAGAAAGCAATTTCATCTAAAATACGGAAGAGGAAAAGATTTCATGAGGTATGTGGAAGCTTCTAGTCCATAAAACAAAAGCTTGCATTCCATAGAAATATAGTCAATGCATTTTAAACACACAAATGTACTTTTTTGTAGGGTATATCATTCACCTCCCAGTCTCATAGCTGTAGAATAAAAATGAGACAAATAGCTCAGAAAAATCCAAGAATTAGTTCTTAAAATGGCCATTCCCAAACCAGCTAAAAATTCTTTGGCAGAATAAGCAGTTTATTCAGATCCACAGTATATGAAAGGTGAAAATTTGCTCTGTAACGTCTTAAGAGTAAAGGGTAAGAACTATCTTCCCTGTATGCAAACAGCATGGCACCGTATGAAACATTATGGCCTGCTCAACCACCTCAAGATCTGGTCTTTTCATCACACAGTTTGTCTTTACTGACCTTACTATCGTACTCATGGTCAATAATAAACACTAACTACTGATTCAGACTGCAGCTATGCACTGCATATGCACTATGTTGATAAGAACACAAGCAAAGCTGGTAAAAGCCTGTATGGCTTCTGGAATCCTGGAACAGAGGATACAAACAGACTCATGTCTTTCCCAGTTATAACAAAATTGGGATGCAGCCAAGAGGAAGCAGAACAAGCATGGGCAACATTCTTCATCCTTCCCAAAGTTGCTGCCTGTTATTTTATAAAAAGTGAAATACCTGTGGAACATGAACCACATTTTTGACGTATCAGCATAGCTCTAGCGACTTCTTTTTCTTCCAGGCTTATGCCTGAAGTCAGAGTATTGAGTGAATTAACAGAAAGCAATGTTTGGAAGCAAAAGAATGCTCGGTGAGACTGAAGGCAATTTTCAAGGCATGCAAGCAGCATTTCTCAGAATATTACAAAAATCTCACTAGAGCTAAGGCTGCCTTGTTTTCACATATTATTAATAGAAGAAGGAACCATCCTGGGACACTTTTCAGTATCAAAGGCATGTTTCTACATCTAGAAACACTTGTTAACCATTCAGCTGTTAACATTGCATGTTTGTAACCATTTATTGAACAAGATTTTAAGTTTGACTGCCTGGGTCCTCTGCTCACACAACCACAGCTTTTTAAGTGTCCTCTTAACTACACTTCACTTAGATGACTTGGACATTCTTGCCATTTAAGACTTCAAATCACCAATGTATAATATAAACAGGCTAGAAGGCTTTTTTACTGGTCCAGTCTAGAAAACATCAAGAAATAATGAAGTTATCATTGGAATCTGGAATATTTCCATTAATTTTTAAAAAAGGTTTAATTCTTCTCTGTAGAAGAATCTTGATTTCATAGTCAGCAAAATACGTTTTTTACCCAATGTCTAACCTATGCTTTGCATCAAAGATAACTGAAAATATTATAGAGATGCAAATTCAGTACTCAATTTATTTAAACCCAGTTTCTGACAATGCCATAGTAAATTAAAAGTTGTACTGTTACAAACACAGAGATCTGCTAAATGGAGCAGATTTAATTTCTCTCATGCAAGTTCCATTCCATCTCAGCTATATCAGTCATATGATCTGTTCATCAGTTTGCAGCCTATCACTGCTCCATCAAATACTCGTTTTAGAAAATTGTATATATATACATAGAATCGAGTGTGAGTCATTACAGGTCTCATCCATTTCTTTTTGTAAAGATTTGCATACGGTGGTTCTTACCATTTTAAATCAGTGTAGGTGAAAACTCTAGGAAATAAGGAACAGTCTATTGAGAAACACATAGGACTAAATCAATTACCTGAATAAGCTGCAAGTGGTGATTCAGTGATTTTTCTGCTTTTATCCAGGTCTCCCAATAAACTAGCATGACCTCATTTTTTATTTTCACCTTGCTCGTTTGACTTAAATCAATTTGTATGGTAAAGTTGAACACAGATGGGTTAGCCCATTTTAAGCATAAGGAATTGAGTTTGACTGTTACAGAAGTGAAGTGTAGGCTTTCTGCTGGATAGTTATAAGGCAGGAAACTGGAAGATGTTAAGGATTGTGAGATTAGAAATAAAATGAACTCCTTGTGTAAAGAAATGACACAAAAAAATTTCCTTCAACTTTTTACCCATACCAAGTCTGAATATAGACCTCTGTCAATCAGCTTGATGCTGATTAACAAAACAGGTAATTTGACAAATTTACTTCGGTAAACAGGTAATTTGGATTGATTTCAAAGATACTGTGGACAACAAGGATTGCCAAAATAAAACTTGTCAGTTGGAAGCAGCATGTATAAAGGATTTTATTTCCAAGTCTAAAACTAATGTGTCAGGTAGAAGGGGGGCGGAGTGGGCTGGTTTAAGTATGATAATGCAAGCAGTGTATTTTAGTTACATGTCTGAATACTAGATCCTCATAGATTCCCGATTTACTTTTTTCATTTTAACAAAACCAGCCTTCTATTTTTATAAAGAAATAAAACTTAATCATCTTAAAAATATAATTTCAGTATTTAAAAAGAATAGCTAGATCACTGCAGACCTTCTGTTTATATCCTAGTAAATGTAACTGAACGACCCTCTCTATTCAGAAGTAGCTTTGTGGATGCAGACTGTCCCATCCAAAAAAAGCAAGAAACATGCACAACCATAGCCCTGCTTAACCTTTACAAGGGGCCTGTGCACATTGGAAGGGGACAGACAGGGAAGATGATGAGACTAAAGTGCAGTCTCCCTTTATAAAAAGGCATACAGCAGTTCATCTTCACAACATCAAGACAGTAGGCAAAAACAGAACAAACCCAGGGAGTCTTTTTCTGCTGCAATACAATTCTGCATTACTGCCAAAGTAGTCACTGCTGCCTATAGGCAGCAACACCTATTTGAGATATGCAAAATGCTTCACAGAAATTAATCACACATGACAAACAGAATGCAAACAATACACTTTGCAGCTACAGAAACTGAGGCTAAGAGACATTCTCTTACTATCAGAAACATAAGGAATATGTAACAGCTAGAATTCAGATCTACAGATTTCTCAAGTATAGTCTTCTACAAGTCTTATAGTCACCTGACAATAGGGTTAACCTGACATAACTGTACTTACCATTAGTTCATGTCTGTTGGTCAAAACCTATGCTACTTTTATTTGGACATCGTAACTGTGTATACTCCAGACTGCTTCATGAGCTTGCTGCAACAGTAGCACTATACTGACAACCTTCTCAGATGACCTAATGCAGAAGAACTTCATTTAGAACAATTACCTGCTCCTTTATGTTCTTAAGTTTTCCAGACATTCTTAAACACTGATGTTTTAAATCTATGTTATTGGTGAGTCTTTACAGGTAAAGTGATATTTATCATTTTACCTTGAGATACTGCATCTGATATATAGATGATCTGCCTGCAGACCCTAGCAAAGACAGGGACAACAGCAAGAAAATAGTTCTGCTTTCTCTTCTGGATAGTTACTCTTTGTTCCAGGAATTCCTTAGGTTTTCACCAGCAGAATTCTACCCTATCCTATCATCCCCTCCAACATTCATATGAGAACATAGAGTGCTATCAGCACTCTCTCCTTTGACTAAAAGGTATTCCTATTGTCCATCAGTATAATTTGGAAAGGTCACTATACCTGCTTATTTATCTGGTGATATTTCTTTATGGATCCTGCTATTAGTGTATCTAACCACCACTAAATATATTGCCTTTCTATTTACAAGGAATGTTACCAATACAAGTAACTGGCAAACTACTATTTCAAACCCCAGTCTAAAGAGACTACAATCTCCTTATTTTTAATCCCAAAGGCTTATTGATGTCCCAAAGAGCTTGCACATACGTTCATTAAGTACACTGTGGAATCTACTCAATATTTAACAGTTATACCGCAAAGCAGTTGTTCATAGCTGCTGGTTGACTGATCTGTTCTTCCAGCATACTGAGTTTAAAGATAACAATAGACACAAATTGCACGTACTTAAAACTGACTTTGGCTCACTCTGATTTAGAACAGTGTCTGAAACTGAAACCATACGTATAAATTTGTATATTAATGAATTAACTCAGTGATTTAACAGTTATTTGCTACTAAACTACTTTGTAATATATAGAGGCATAATGTCTTCA